GTACCTTCCCTTATCCCCTATTTTTGTGTTCCCCTTAGAAGTAGGAGTTTGAGTTTCGATAGAAGTTTAAGTTGCGATAAGAGAGGGACTACCTTAGCCGAATACAAGAAGGAAACCCTCTTGTAACCTCCTATTTAAGGAGCTGATTTTATTCAATAAAGGTATCGAAATTTCAGTCAAGAAAGAGAGCAAGGAGAGTTAGGTGATCTCTTGAACAAATCACTCCTCAGTTCGCCACCATAGGGTCAACTCGCAAGGCGAAGGGCAAGGAGTTTTCCCCACAAACCGCCCCGTGACGAGATCCTACGCCCGGGCCCATAACAGAACTTTCAAGGGCTGACTGCTGAACAGGTACAGCTTGCTGCTGTACAAGAGCAATTACAATAGAGAATGGAAGCTATGTTCACTGTTATGAGTAGGATCCTGAATGGGTCAAGCGTGAGAATACGGGTTTGAGCGTGGAGTGGCCGCTTTGTCCAAAAAATGCCAAAGATTAGGTCTGTTAGGACTGTATCTACTCTACCCCTCCCAAGACCCTAGATAGCTGGGACCAAAAATTGGGTAATCCCCTTTGATATCTCAGATGAAGAGCCATTGATCTCATTTACTTGAGCACTTTGAAGATTTAAGATGCTTGTTATCCAGTTTGTTTTTGTGCCACTTCTTTCTTTATGGGATATTTTTAGTGCTTTCTGTTTGTAATACTTCACTTGAGTGCACCCTTGCCTGATCTTCCATATGATCCTGTATGCAAATTCTGCTAGGCAGGCTACTAATAAAAAGCTGTTAAGCAAGTTGTTGATGGAAATTTTTTGAAGAAATTCTCATACAACATGATTTACTTAATTAACAATTCAGCTTTTATTGTTTTGGGTAATGTTCATTTGGGGTATCTAATAGATGGTCCTCTTAATTACATCTCTGCAAAAGGCTGATAAGACCACCCTCTGATTCTGACTTGGAGGTGAAATGAACAAAATAAACTAACCATATGCAATTACTGAAATTTTCTAATGAAAATTCTGGATTCATGTTCCTCTAAGATTGAGAGAGGATGAGGACATAAATTTAGAGAACAAATAAACTTTTCATATACATATTTGTTAAGTTGTCCCATTATTAGATGGGCCTTCTAAATAAATGCTCATTATTACTGTTTGGCTTGTGGACCTTTTATGTTCACTGGGTCACCTGTTTTTTAAGTTGGATGTGATAGCACACAACCAGATGCATACTTATTACATAATCCCATCCTTGGAGAAGAATCAGATCATTAGAATTTAAGACCAATTTAGAAATCTGTTTAGCATTTATCAAAAAAATCTGTTTAACGAAGTCAAGTTAAAATTTTATTTCAACACAATCCTTCAAAATGCAAACCTTGCATGACGGGTAGAACTAATCATTTCCCCCCTTAGTTATATGTAAATGCTTTGTTTCTAGCACAACTGAATTTCTTTATAAACATGACTATCACTGTTTACTTAACGCCATTTGTATTTTTGTTGGGCAGGAACAAGGAATATCAATTCTCAATAATGCAATCAAAGCTTGCACTGATGAAATAGACCGCCACAAGGGGAAACTTGCAGTGAAGGAAGCACCTAGAGCTGTGAGTGTCGTTGTTTACACTTTAAATCTTTAGATATTATTCTCTGTGCATCAGGCGTATATATGCATGTTGTGTTTTTTGTGTTGGTGGGAGGGGGGGGTGCTTGAAATGTATTTTATATGTAGATTACCACAGTTTGAGAACATATAAAGAATTTTCATGGTTTATTTTTTTTGTTGTTTCTTATTGTATGGTGCATTGGTGTAGGTGAGCGAGCGGGATGATAAACTACTTGCTGAGCACATGGCTAAACTACGACATGACAATGAGGAGGTTAGTGGTGACGAAGACAGTGAAGAAGAGGAAGATACAGGGATGGGTGAAATTGATGTGGAAAATGCGGCTTCTGGGATAACTGAGTAAAAGCACAGCAAATTAGATCGGGATTGGAACATTCTTTTTCTATTGTCATGCTTGAGAGTAGTTGTATAGAACCAGTTTCCATGTTTTGTGTCATTAAGCCCTTTCCCAATCTAGCTATTTATTTAACAGGTTTTTTCTAGTTGGGAATGGCCATGTTCCCCTGAGTTAATTTGGAGGATACTTATTTGAAAAATACATCATCGAAACAGTTTTGCAACTACTATGGTGTTTGACAACAGAAATTTGAAATGGGTTACCATGGCTATGGTGGAATCATTTTATATCACATGGTACTATGGTAATGATTCATGACTAACCTAAATTTTAACTTATTCTTAATTATGATCTGCTTTCCGTGGAAGCTACAGCATAGATGAAATGTGGGACAGTGGTTTTCAGTTTTCACCTAAATGATGATGTTTCGTTCTTCATGTTGGTATGTCTATCATATTTGGGACCGTCTCAACTACTGGGTTATTGGCATCTTTGTTTTCAAAAGCAAAACCATTTACATTGCCAAACACCCCCCTTGCTGATATGGGTCTACTGCATTGATTTTGTTGGTTGATCATGCAGGCACCGAGGCACTTAACCTTGACCTTGAAGCCTGGAATCTTCGTGAACTGATTGTTTCGTGTACACTTAAAATGAGTCACAGGGCTAAGATCTTGCCATCTGTAATGTTTAATGTCGTTGAAATTTTAAATTTTACTTGAGTGTATTGTTAGAGAAGCAAGTGGTTGACCAGCTAGGATGCATATTGTCTGGTTGACCTTCCGGTGGTACTCTTCTGAGAATCTAGATTTAACCAATGTGATAGCACTACTCTAAAGTTAAAGAATTAAACCAATTTGGTCATTGTAATCTCTGGAACGTCCAAGTCTAATAGCTGGCCTTGCTTTTAATGTTCTGCGTAGCGAGATAACTTGGAACCGATTCAAACTTTTCTTGGTGGTAAAAAAAAAGGTTCTACAACGATCATCCATATTACGCTTGTTATTCTTTATTCTTTCATAACACACACCATTATTAAGGATTAAATAAAATACTTCGTTTGGCATTAGTCAAAATTCCAGATATCTAGTTATTTTTGTTTGGGTTTGGGGCGGAGGGGGGATTAAAAAACTTATGTTGGGAATTTGTTAAAGTTAAAATGACCCAAACCCTAACCTGAACCTGATGTAATTGAAATACTTGACGTCGTGCAACCTGATTTGGAGCCCTTAGTTTAAGTTTGGTAACACTGGGGCAATGTCAATTGTTTTTTTTCCAAGGTATTGACAGTCCACCTTATCCCAACAGAAACAATTGCTCCTCTCCTTTGGTTTTTCGGCTCATAATAAAAGTTTGGTTTGAACTTCGATTTTTTGAAAGACTAGGCGTACGTTACATTAAATTATATTATTTTTGGTTAAGTAAACAAGCGAATGCCAAGTGCTAGGCTCCCAGCCTCCCTAGTCTCACTGATTTTTTTTTTTGCGATCGAAATATTGAAATATGTGACTTAAGATACTGGTCCAGTGTGTCCAGAGTCACCACTCCACATGCAGACGCCGTAGTGGACGTGGCCCGAAAGCTGGACCTGGACGGGGGGTGGCGGGAGTGCCAACGAAAAGAGAACTGTCATTGACCAACGTTGAGGGATACAGACAGACAGTTTTACTTCTACCTACTACTGGTGGGATGGGTACTGCCATTGGGTAGCGTTGATTTAAAATTTGCATTTCCCCATTAACAAACATCATATTTATTAAGACCAATATTATTGCTCCGTTTTGTTCAAGTAAAAGTATACTGATATCGGTGCCCCATTGTATTAATAATATCACAGTCACACATTCTGAGCATTCGTCAGTCGCCATTTAAGCTTATATCAGAGGTCTCGTAAATAAAAAGGGAAAACACCGCCACCGGTAGTTAGACCGATGGCCTATGTTTCTGCTATTCCTTTCTCATCAATCCAGTTCGGTTCGATCCCCACAAAAGCGGGAAATTGGGTTCACACCGGAAAAGAAAAACACTGGACGGTCCACGAGAACATATGAACAGACTAAAATAATCATTACTCTCTTTCCTATTAAGCTCTGTGCTACCTCGAATGTCGATCCTAGTCGGTTCACAGTCTCAGACAACAACCTTGTTTTTATAATATACATATAATATTTGAGCTGGGTGCTGGACTGGACTGGACCATCCCACAAGAATATTTGGCCGGATGTTTCAACAACTTGCTACTCTGGATGCTAGATCGTATGTTTGTGCATTTTACTCAGATCTACTATCACTTGATGGGATGGGATGGGCCCACTCAAGAAGTTAAATGTCCCCATGATGATCAGAGGGTTTTTTTACCGTCTGATCCATAACCTTTTTTATTTTATTCTTATTTGGACGTATCTTCCTCGTGAATTCAGTAATTCACTGTCGGCACACGTGTTGACTTTTTATTTTTCCTGACGACTGACGGCACCCACCTCTTCTATCCTTTTAGCAGCGCATACAATCTGCTTCTTTAACGACATTTCAAACTCCCCCAGTTTTAATCTCTCTCTCTCTCTCTCTCCCGCTTTTTTTATCGCGAAGAGAGCGAGAGAGACCTTCGCTCCTCCGTCTTCTCGTTCTCCAGTTTTCTGTACAAGTCCACTCGTTCATCGTCAATTTTCGCTTCTCTATTCTGTCTGTTCCCCCAGAAGCTTCAGGCGATCCAATCTTCTTTATTACAATTCTTTAGAGCGAAAAGACATGGCGCGATCGGTACAATCAATGTTGAGGGAGAGAAAGTATCCATTTCTCTTCGCTTTCTTCCTCTTGCTCGTCTGCGTTGCAGTCCTTCTCTTCACCAACAATCGGCTTCCTTCTTTATCTGCCACCGATCTTGAAAATCTTGAAAAATCTCAGACGATCTCTTCATCTCCTGCCAATGTATCGATCTCTCCTCCAACCCGAAGCCCTGCCAAGGGAAAGAAGCCGAAGCTTCTTGTTTCTTCCTCGGATGGGATCTCCAACGGCAGCACTCAGTTGATCTCAATCATGTGGACTGCTTGTAAAGGTTCTGCGGCTATTGATTACATACCGTGTCTTGATAACATGAAGGCTATAAAGGCGTTGAAGTCTAGAAAGCATATGGAGCACAGGGAGCGGCATTGCCCTAATCCTAGCCTCCTGTGTTTGGTTCCTCTTCCGCAGGGGTACAAAATTCCGGTACCGTGGCCGAGAAGCAGGGACACGGTGAGATTGATACTTCGGTAAGAGGAAGCGAGTCTGTTTGGTTTCTATTTTTATTTGATCCATTTCTTGTTCTTGCTCGGTGAATTGTTCGATTTCCTAATTTTGCGAGAAATTCTTAATCTCGATAAAACCTTTTCGATTGGTTTAATTTTGAGGAGCTTAAACTAATTACTAGCGCTGCCTATAAGCTGAAACATTACTTTTCCTATTTTCGTTTCTTTGTTCTTATATTGCTACAATCATAGTTCCAAAGCTAGGAGTTAGCCTTTGGTTTGATTGACAAGAATGAAATGATCCTTAAAGAACTTTGAAAGTGAAACCATTACAATACTTCCCAAGAGAGCTTAGGATAGACGGAAAAAGAAAAAAACTATTACCATTTCAAGGATATAGGTTTAAGCAAAGACATTTCTTATTCTGAGAATATGCTGTTAAATAATAATACAATGGTTTCAGCAACGTTATTTGGTATGTGCAACATTGTCAACTCCAGGTTGTCAACCATCTCTAGCCACATAAATCACGCAAGTTAATTCATTTACAAGCTGTAGCATTGATATGTTGTATCTTTGAATCACGACAGAACTGCCAGTTGGCAATATTCAGTGAATTGTAACCGTCCAATAAGTTTACTGTGGTTCCCGAGTATTTTATCTGAATTGGTTACCTCTTAAAATCTCTTCATGTAAATCATGCTACACATTTACTATGGGATCCAATGTTTGAAAGATCCAGCACTCCAGAATGTGCATCAATCATTCAACCGAGAATATCGTGTGGTTTCCTTCTCCATGCTTTCAGTTTCAGATAGACATTTACAAAATTTAAATGTGTATTGTAAAAGATGCTTGTGATGTGGTAATATATGGCTCCCTTCCCCATGCTTTTACGGAAAACTTCTGAAAAATTTGATCTTTATTGTAGGATATATTTGTGGTCTCTCACTCTCTCTCTCTCTCTCTAGGATGCAAATTATTATATTATAAATGCTTTTCTTGGAGCATTATTAATTCATTTTGCATGTATTTTTCTTACTTTTGTCTCGTCAGGTTCTTGGCAATTGTACATTATCAAATATCAAGTAATATATCTCTAGAATTGTGTATTTGTTTTCAAATAATTTGCTTTTGATTTGGTTCTGAATTTCTCAAGATATGTCTAAAAAGAATTGTCAAGAATCCCATTAGTTTGATGCTGAAGTTATCTTTAGGAACTTAGAATCTCAAATCAACTGAACTCAACTTAGCCTTGGTCCCAACTATTTTGGATCTTTAGGAATTTATAATCATTGGTGTGATCAACTTTCTGTTTTGCAGATCTGGTTTAATAACGTCCCTCATCCTAAACTCGTTGACTACAAGAAAGACCAAAACTGGGTTACAGCATCCAATGATTACCTTGTTTTTCCTGGAGGTGGTACTCAATTTAAACATGGAGTGGGAAGTTACACAGAGTTTATAGAAAAGGTAGTATATGTGTCTTTTGGTTAAAGATATGATGTTCTGTACCATAGGTGAAATAGTTAAGGGCTGTTTGATTGTGACTGAAGTAGTTGAACTGAATGACTTTTTCTAGTGAATAAAATAGTTAAAAGAATAAAATATTTGAGGGTATAATAACCAATCTAACTTGAACTTCAGTCATTAAGGATATCGTGACATCCTTAATAACTTATTTACTATAATACAAAGCAATAAGCCATTGGTTTCAGTCCCTTCTTCTGTTATCAAATGGCCCCCTAGTTTAGAGCAGTGAAACCTGCTCTTCTATTTGTCTTTACTTAACTAATGCTTTTTTGGATTTTCTTGCATGTAAAAAAGAAGGGGGGTGTACAGTGTACTCATGTGTTCAGAATTTAACCCTCATCTTCAACTATTCTTTTATTTCAATATCCCTTTAATTTGCATCCATTCAAGTAAGTGAAACAGGGGAATGTCCTAATCTAATTAGAATTTTAACTGTTTGTCTAGAAACTTGGACACTTCTATCTCTCTTGATACAAAAGTTAGCTGTTTAGGTGATAAGAGAAATTATGATCACTATCTCCTTTGTAAGAAGGGAAGGAAAATATGAGTACTACTATATAAGGATTCAGATGAATTCCAAATATTGTAACTTTTTGTAATTGGTAAGCATTTGGATCTTGAGGAACATCTGCCAATGCATCTCTAAAATTTTCCTGGTCCGATAACCTGGAATATTGGAAAAGTCTCTATATTGGAAAAAGTAATCCACTGTACAATTATTTTTTTCCAACATTGTCCTTAACAATCAACTGATGAATTTCAGTATTTTATCCGTGTGCTTATTCAACAGTTATTGCTCGAAAAGAAATTTATTGATGCTTAGATATCCAATTTGGGCATTTACATATACTGAACTTTTAAGTGTCTCTCTTTCATTAAATTTATATTTGATATTTAACATTTGGTTGTAACTGATGTAAATCTTGACTTTCACTAGACTGTACCAGGTATTCAATGGGGGAAGCACACAAGGGTTGTCCTAGATGTTGGTTGTGGTGTGGCTAGCTTTGGTGGCTACTTGCTGGAGAAAGATGTTATTACCATGTCATTTGCCCCAAAGGACGAACATGAAGCTCAAATACAGTTTGCTCTGGAGAGAGGAATTCCTGCAATTCTTTCTGTTATTGGGACACAAAGATTGACTTTCCCTGATAATGTATATGATTTGATTCATTGTGCAAGATGCAGGGTCCACTGGTATGGAGATGGTAGGTTAGAACTTTACAATCCCAGTCCCTGTTGTTATTGTTATGTGTGTTTCTGTATGTGTGGGTGTCTCTATGTGGTATACAAACACATGCACACGTTTTCAGATTGTTTTTCTTGTCATATGTTAAGTAAAGATCATTGTAAAGTTTTGGGTTGAATTGTAGGTGGAAAGCCATTGGTAGAGCTAAACAGGATTCTTAGACCAGGAGGGTTTTTTGTATGGTCTGCTACACCAGTTTATCTTACAGATGAAAAGCATCAGAGTGTCTGGAATGGTTTGTGGTCATACTCTTTCTCTTTTCAGAAGATGTTCTAAATTTTCGTGTTAGTTACATTCCCTCACACGTTAGCTTGATCCATGGTGCTGACTGGTGCTTCTTGGGAACATGCCAGCTCTCTTTGTTTCTTAATTCCTTTCCTATTAATGATCTTAACTTATAGTAATATTATGACATTGTTATGGTAATTATACTGTGCTTTATGCATTTTGCTTGTTAAAACCTGGTTCTTTCTATGATGTTTTGTGCAGCCATGGTAACATTGACAGAATCTATCTGCTGGAAGATGGTAGCAAAAACTAAAGATTCAGATGGCATTGGACTTGTAATATATCAAAAATCTGTCTCGAATTCTTGTTATGAAGAGCGCAAAGAAAGTATTGTTCCTTTGTGTGATCAAAAGAACAGAAATGCAACTTCATGGTATAAATATTTATTTTCAATTATTATGCTTCTCTTTCACTATCATAGATTTTATTTCTTATTGGAATGAAAGATTTCATTGTTTTAGTTAAGTTTGGGTTTCTGGACTTGTTGTTGAGGCAGGTATACACCCCTTGATGGCTGCATTCCCCTACTTCCAGCAGCTGGCACTCTTGGAAACCTAAACTGGCCTACACCCTGGCCCAAAAGGCTTAGCAGTAAACCTCCAAGTTTACCAATGGAACCAAGTGGTGAAAGAACATTCTATGAAGACAGTAAACGCTGGCATTCACTTGTATCAGATGTTTATTTGGAAGGGTTGGCTATCAACTGGTCAAGCATTAGGAATGTGATCGATATGAATGCTGGTTATGGAGGGTAACATTTATTAAATCACTTCCTTTCCTGATGCCATGTGAAATAAAGTCATTTCATTCTAATTTTTTATAGCATTTGAATTTAATTATCATCATATAAAATGGAGCCATTTCTGTTTCTTAAGAAAATTAGGAGGTATATTTCTTGAAAACCAGGAATGACTTCATTCTAATGTTTTACTATCAATTTGGAACAAATTCATGGTAGGTGTGAAACATGCGATTTGAAACATATAGTAAAACCACAATGAAATATATAGTTTACATTATATGTAAAACTGTGACTTGTTTTCTTTATCACATGAGTTTTGGATTTAGAGTTGACCATTATACTGTAATCAGATTATTTTCTAGGCTAGATTTAGTTGGTTGTTTTAATTAATCACAGAGTTTACCTACCATGTTCCATGTGAACTTATAATAATAGTTTCTAGTCAAGAGATCACGGGATCTTTGCATGTGGTGATTGTGTGCCTAGGATAAATGTGATGGTCTTTAGATTCTCCATGGAAAGAGACGTCATTAATGAATTTATGAAAGTCTAAAACAAGAACATTTGTTGTAGGTGACAAAACTGGTTGAACTTGAGAGAACTGCAACAAATGATACTAGGTTCAAGCAGCTTTGTCAAATTCAAGACAAACCTTGACCTTTGTTTTTTTTAGTGCTTTAGCTTAACATGTCTTACCATCTTCAGTCAATTTTTGTATACAAAAAACTAATTCCAGTAATTGCTTTGTGCTATGGAATTCCTTCAATCATTCATATCCACTGCGTATCTATTTTACTAGTTTAAGAATAAAATAGTACACCTTTTGAATAAGTATATTTTCAGTTAATATTGACATTTGCCTCTTATCAGATTTGCTGCAGCACTTATTGATCAACCTCTCTGGGTAATGAATGTTGTGCCCATTGACAGACCGGATACTCTACCTGTAATTTTTGACAGAGGGTTGATTGGAATTTATCATGATTGGTGTGAGGCTTTCAATACATACCCTCGAACTTATGATCTTCTGCACTCCAGTTACCTATTTGGAAATCTCACGAAAAGGTATAATCACAATGGCCATTTTGTCTATAATAGTAATTTTTTTTCAACACAGCATGAATAGGCCTACTTGCTACACTTTTTTTTCTCTCTCTCTCTCTCTCTCTCTCTGGGTGGGGATACCATGCCAAAAGTTTAATTGATGATGATGCCTTGATACAATGGGAAATGAAAACACCCCTCTCTGGGAGATGAGGGTTTGATCTGCAGTAGTAGTAGGATTGAGTGTTCTAGGGTTTGGTCTAGTGTCGTGAATAAAGCCATTGCCCAATGCTGGCCTGACTATTCGTGGTCTTGGGAGGGGTGGAATGGGAATGAAGTAGTCACTCTCAGACTCAAAAAGTAGGAAGCAAGCAATGGTCCCTATGTCAAGTGATCAAAGTTGATTTGGTTCATTGCTTGTGTCAGGTATTTACAGATCAAGGGCTTATGATGCCTCCAATCAACAGATATAGTAAGGATTATTATTATATTCTAAAATTTATACTCTTTTCTTTTTTTTTTTTTCGCAGGTGTGACATTGTTTATGTTGTTGCGGAGATGGATCGGATATTGAGACCTGGTGGATGGATTTTGGTGCGAGACAACTTGGAAGTGATTAATAAGATAAATCCATTACTGCGCTCACTTCACTGGGAGACCAATCTATACGAAGGTGACTTCCTTGTTGGCAGGAAGGGTTTCTGGCGTCCCACTGATGCAGGACAATGAACATGAGTAGAGTTCCACACTTTACCACTGTATAATCTTACGTTTCATCTCTGTTCTTTTATCAATTGTAGTGAAAAATATTATTTGAGCCTCATTAGTTGCTTTGATAGCTTTCAGTGTTTGTGGGGCAGAACTTTTAGCACATTCATGTGTTATATTTACATAGAATTGGAATGAACATCGATTAGGTCTAGCTTATAAGATTAAATAGCCCAAGCAAGTCAATTGTTGTGTCATCTTATTGGTGATTATCACTTCTCATATACATTATCTGGGCTCAAGTTGTTGAGAGGAATTAAAATGTGTGACGATCCACGACCACTAGCCATAATATCCATAAAATGGATTATAAATCCAATTTGATTCTTGCCTCGCAGCACCTTTTGAATGGAAGAAGATCCTGCATGAGTGGCCAGCTGGACTTGTTTGAGATGTCCCGCTAGTTCATATATGATGATGATGATGCTCTCTGTAAAGGTCTGGTAGGTCAACCCAATTTTTTTTACCTCAGTTGTCCTGAGAGTTGCATGAAGCTATACTTCTCATGCACAGCAATACTGGTTTTCTGGAAATCAAATAAGAAAATCTAAATGATGAATGGCCAAGCATTCTTGAAGACACTATTATCTGTTTCATTTGAGACACCTTTAAAACATTTTCTTGGATTGTGAGTCATCGTTGGAGGAAACATCATTTTTGACATGTTCTTCAGTAGTAGTAAGCATTTTTTTACTATTCGGCTTATGTGGCTTTCCTAATGGTGCCTAGCTGTCATAAAGCAACATAAAACGTTTTATCCTGATTTTCAAAGGAAAAAATGATATAAAACGTTTTTCTGATAAACATCAATGAAATTACACAGCTCTAAGGTTGGCTAGAGTAGAAAATGTCATCCAATTTTAACTGCCTGGGAACAAGGTTAGGAGCATACGCCACTGGACTGGATTAGGTTGGCTAGAGTAGAAAATTCATTCAATTATGAATTGGCCCGAGTTGAGTGCCTGGGTAATGAAAGCTAAATTGGACCTGGGTTCAAGGTTAAGAGTATGGGCCCTCCGGGGCTCTGGGATTGTCTGGTGCTCCACTTGCCTCGTCATGGAGTGATGTTCAATTTGTTCATACTGTAACAAACCTAAGTGGTAAGCAAGTGGAAGATCATCGCTTAACCATAGATTGGTTGTGCATTTTCTATTTCGACTTTTTTATCGAACTCCGGAAGATCTGGTTTGGAGAAAATCTCAGAAGAAACCAATAAATTATGATAACGAGAATTTTGAAACTGGAATGTAACCATAAACCGGATTTTAAAAAAATTTCAAACTGAACCGGATCATTCTTAAGTCCAGATCAAGCCAAACTACCAATTTCAGTTTGGTTAGGTCTGATTTGATGGTCTGGACCATATAATGAACACTCCTATTCAAAAATTACTCAAAGATTTATAAAACCTGGAAATTCTTTATATGTGAATAATATGGGATAAAAAAAGTAGAAAACATTTATTACATTATTATATAGAAAATATGAATATTAATTGATTACATACATTTATATGTTTCTATCAGCATCAGCATGGACCAAAGTTCGTACTCAAAATCCTTCACTGTATTCAGAGTTCAGGATTCGCCTTTCTTTATGGGTTTTCTTTTTAGCTAAAATGAAAAGCTTGGATGGCTATCTAACATCATTTGTAAAAAAACAAGGGCAAAGGGAAAAAAAGAAAAAAAGAAAAAAAAAAGGAAGAAAGGGTGGAGGTCCTAAGTCTTAACGGAGAGATACCGGACAATGGGCATCCAATGTGGGTAAGGTGTGAATGAAAATTTGATGCGTACAACTTGGATCTGGATGGAGGCCCAGTACAGAGTCATACACGTGCATGTTTGTATACGGCAATTTGTTCTTTTCCCTCGTTAACACTGCAAGCGTGTGAATTGAAGGGTGGGAAACCACACAACAGTTGTTCTCCTCGCAATGGAGATGGGACTGGGAGAATCAAATTTGGTACGAATGGGTTTGATGTCTGTTGTCTGAATTCATGCTAGCTAAATAAAGTGTGTGTTTGTGTGAGTCTGAGATGTGAGGATGGGTGGGTAAAGAAGAGAGAGAGAGAGAGAGAGAGAGAGAGAGGAGGGGAGGGACGAAGGAAGGAAGAGCTGTCTAATCCGGAATCAGGATTAACATACAAATATGAAATATCCTCACACATTTACCTCTGCCAAGATCTACGCTCCGGATATCTTGTCGGCGACCGCAACTACATCCAGTCAAACGAGCTCGGAGTCCGGGCCCACACCTAACTTCTCTCAATCTCTCTGCGTGTCCTTTTTAGTTCCCACGCCACACGAGTGGCTTCACTCTCTCCCCACTCATCTCCTTTTCTCTGCACTCCTCCACCCAGAATATTGGTAATTGCCCGGAATACAAAGCCATGCAGCAATCACATACACCATCCTCCAATCCTATTCCTTTCTCCCTTCCTCGCCTCCTCTGATCCTCTCCTCTCTTTGTTTTGTTTCCTCAGCACTCAGCTTTGTTGGGTTTGGGTAGGCCAGGGTTGGCCGTGACGCCTCGATGCAATTACACACGTACCGTACCAATCCTCTATCAGTGAAACGTTACTCTTGTACACGTGCAAGGAATGCGGACCCACTTAAAAGGCATCTCGTTCGTACGCTAGGTTTTAACTTAACGCTTGATCTGTTCAATCTTTCATCTTTTCTTTTTTCTTTCATTCTGAACTCTGGGGTCTGGAGAGTACATACTTGCATGCTCTTTTTTATGCTATTTATATTTGTATTTTTTTTTGTTATTTTCCCTTTAATTAATCTGTGAACTGTTTGGATTCTCTCTCTCTTTTATAAGTTTTTCTTGGAAAGCGTGCGTTAGGTTTTCCCATTTGCCTCGATTTATGATATAAAATTTCATTCCATTCAAATACGGATAAATTTAAATCAGAGTAGAGTTTTATGTCAATCTTGATTTACACTCCTTTAACTGATATAAATATTTATATTGATTTTAATTTACATCATTTCTAAATGCAGCCTTAGTTTCTCGTTTTACCCCTCTTAATTTGCTTTTATGTAATAACGAAGAACTTGAGAACAAAATTTTCAATGTAAAAGTGGGGGAAAAATTATATATTCAGGCTGAAAATTTTGGTTTCATGTTACGTTGAATTGAAAGAACGATCTGATCTGAAAGATAGGGTTTTAGGTAAGCAGTCGTTGGCAGGCCCACGAAGGATGACTACTGTTTGGATGCAGTACGAATCACAAAGCCTGTAACCGTATCCATAGATTCCCTCAATACGTCTTATCACCACCACCTCCCAATAATCTAAACAACTCTTACATAGCTTCTAATATTGTCTTCTTATGGTGGAGCTCTTCATGGCATCGTGGTTTCATGCTCTGTTTCTTTTTGGGGATAAGCAATTATCTTTTGTTTCGGGAACTGGGAAGGGAAGAACGATACCAATTACCAAGTTTGTTAGAAATTAGAAAAAACTGTGATCTAGAGATGAGTACAGAATGACGAGATTGCTCAAATAGTCAAATGACTCCATCTGTTTCATCCATCACCGTTTTCTTCCCGCTCATGCTCAGTCTGATATGAACTTGTAAACAGTATGATAACCCTTAAAGAATTGTTGGGATTTGGCTGTAGTTTCAGCTATATGTGGGTGCTTACAAAGTGGAAAAAACAGAGAAGTTACATGTAGGGGTGTAAATGGATCGAATTCTAATCGGATCAGAAAATATTTGAATTCGACTTGATATTGACGGATATTGAAAATTAATATCTGAATTCGAATCTGATTAAATATTCGAATATCCAATTCGATTCGAATTTGATTAATTAATTATTTTAGATAATTAATAAATATATAAAATAAATATTTTATTGATATAAAGTATATAAATATATAAATATATAAATTATTTATATAACTTAATTATTATATATAAGAATTAAATAATCGATCAAATTCGGATATTTATCGAATCGAATCGAATCGAATCAGGTCATATCCGAATTCGAATCCGATTAACTATTCAGTGAGAATAGGATATCCGAATTTGATCGATTAGATATTCGAATTATCCGAATTTGATTCGATTATGTCGAATATCGAATTCGAAATCAGATTTTCGAATACCATTGACACCTCTACTTATATGTAGCAGATTGAAGTAAAATACAGAGCAAGAGAAAGGACTGAAAAATTACTTCATACGTATTATGGTTTCTCTCTTAGTTAGAGTCATACAAGAATGGCTTCATGAGCAAGCCAAATAGAAGCTTCTTTAAGTACACATTTTCAACTAACCCAGATTTACAAAAATTAGAAAATAACCCAACTAAAGTTAATTTTTACCTACTACATGAAAAGACAAAATAAATATAAAATATTTTAACTTCCTAACACATTAGCTGTAACATTCTCCCCCTTAATGTGTTGTTGTTGGACTCATAATGCTTCTCTTAATTATTCAAACTTTTCTCTTGCCAATGGCTTGGTGAAGATATCAGCCAATTGCTCTTGGGTTCTGCAATATATTAATTCAATTTCTCCATCTTCAATGGCATCTCGAATGAAGTGATGTTTGAGAGCAATGTGCTTAGTTCTGCTATGATAACATGGGTTTTTTGACATAGCAATGACAAATTTGTTGTCACAATGAATCACCGTAGAATTCTCTTACTTCTCATTAACATCTTCCATAATTCTCCTAAGCCAAATTGTTTGAGATGTTGCCATTGAAGCTGAAACATATTCTATTTTTGTTGAAGATTGAACTACTGATTTTTGCTTATTTGAGCACCAAGAAAACACACCACTACCAAAGGAAAAACAGTAACATGATGTGCTCTTCATGTCATCACCACATCCTCCCCAATCACTGTCACAAAAAACAATTAGTTTTACTTCATTTCCTCTGTCATATTTGAGTCCATAATCCATGGTGCCTTGCACATACCTTAGCACTCTTTTTGCAGCTCCAAAATGAATGTGACTGGGGCTGTTCATAAATCTGGACAGTAAACTTGCCACAAGCATGATGTCCAGCCTTGTAGCAGTAAGATAGAACAAGTTTCCAACCAAGCTTGTACAAGGTTTCATCTACCTTATTACCACCATCTTCCTTCATTAATTTCTCATTAACAACCAATGGAGTAACTACAGGTTTGCATCCAAGCATTCTGAATTTTTTGAGATT